CGGGGGGGTAGAGCGCCCCCGTGCAGCCGAAATAGCTCAGTTGGGAGAGCGTTAGACTGAAGATCTAAAGGTCCCTGGTTCGATCCCGGGTTTCGGCAGCGCAATTTCCTTTTTCCTCCCGCCCTCCCAAAACACTCCAAACCGCCCCAAAACCCTCAGCCCGGGAGAAAAGAACCTCCAGTTCTGTTTAACAATATATCCAAGAAACGAATGCGAAGGGCCCTAACCCTGCACAGGAATACAGTTTAGTGGTTTTTTGGGTTTTTTTTGGTTTTTTTTGTCAGAGTTCAGTTGATGATCTTAAACCAACCCAGGGGATTCTGTGATTCTGCAATTAAAATGGGACAAGCTCGTCAGCAGCACAGATGCTGTCAGGAAGGACGCCTTTTAAATAAATAAATTTAAATGTTTTAGTAAATTTAGATAAAGCACAAGAAGAGAAAGCTAAGTTTGCTTAGTAACTGAAAAAACCCCAGTATCTTGTATCAGAGACACAAAAATAATCTTCACCTGATGCAAAACGGGGGTGGGAGAGTCCAACCCACCCTGGAAACCAGCAGCTGAAATAAATGAGTAATCAAACAACAGCCACAACAAGCCTTTGAGAGTTCACTCCAACTTTAATCCACTGAAGATCACATCAATCCGTACATGGCAAAACAGACCTCAGTCTGGTGGTGGGGACAGAGGTCTGGGACCACCCCCTAAAGGCTGGGGGGGGGATGGAGGGGGGTTTGAGGGGTGTAAACATTTTGGAGCGCTTGGACGCGGAGTCATCCTCGGGCCACGGGGCCCAGTTTGGGTTTTCAGGTGAGAACTTGTCCCTGGGAAAGCAGTGGCTGAAAGGCAGGAAAAGGAGAGAGGAAAAGGCTGGGGGGTAAAGGCTGGGGGGAGCGGGGGGCTCTGCTCCCTCACGGGGGCTGTAGGAACAGCCCAAAAGGCCTTTGGGGGGTGTTTCAGGACCCCCACTCGTGGTAAGCAAGAAGTGCACAAGAATATCCTCATTTGCACAGTTGATGCACTCGTCAACGTCCCCTTAATGAGGTGAAGGAGGATCCCAAACACACATTGAATCCCTTTACAGAGTAATTAAACATGATTAAAATACATCCACAGCATCGCTACAGCCAGAACACACCTCCCCATCCTGATTTACACTGAAACTTCTGCCTTAATTCCAAATCATCTCGGTCTCTATTGGGCAAAGCAAATAGATTTGTGTTAGAATATAGAAAAATACTAATCCTTGGGCTTTTGTCACTAAATAGTTCTCCATGACACCGCGTGCCTGGCCGAGGCAGGGTGTGACACACTACACCTGCAGCAGGAATGACACATGATTAAATTTGGCATTTAAATCAGATAGAAAAAGACAATTAGAAGTGTTCCTAAACTCACGGCCTCAAAAAAAAACAACATTAAAGCAGCATTCCAAAGTTTCACTTTTAAATGGAAAAAGTGAACTTTTCTTGTTCTTTAAGCCAACACTGGATTCCTTTTTCTGCTGAATGTTACAGGTGTCCTTCTGAGCCTTCGTTATCCCGATTGCATCCCAAGGACCCAGTTTTATTTCCTGCACCATGAGCCCTGGGAAGCAGAACCCCCAGCCTGGGGGGGGGGAACACGTTCAGATGGGCCCCCTGTGCAGGGAACAGCGATCACCGGGCGACACACGGCTACGGAATTCATCAGCGAGGGCTTTTCCGAGGATAGCAGCCCTCTCTCCCTCAGGTATTTGGCCAAAATAACTCATAGAAAGCTTAGTGTTACAGCAAGCAGCTCCCAAAACCCTCGTGGTTCCTGCGGGATCCACACGAGGTGCCGTGGGGGGGTGGGACGTGGCGGTGACACCCACAGGGTTCCCCCCCACGCGCTGCTCCCGGCAGCTCCGCGGCCAAGACACGACTGCATCCAACAGCCTCAGAGCCACTGCGGCCCTGAAGATACACACCCGGACTTTATAAAGTAAGAATTACACATTTTATACAAAGAACCACGTCTCTCTCATACTGGGGCAGCGCCGGGGTCGGCGGGGAAGGTCGGTGCCACGGCTCAGGCGCTGTCTGCCCACGCGGGGCTCCTCTTCCCTTTTTTCCTTTCTAGAATTTCTTCATCGAATATTTCTCTCTCCCTGAAAAGAAACACGTTGAAGTTCTGCATCAAAAATAACCTTCACATACTAAGCAGCTCACAGCGTGTTACAGTCACACAGCGACAACATTCCCATGTTTAATCATTTTGTTACAGAGAGGACGAGGGAGCTGGATTACACTGAGGACACTGAACTCTCCCTGCCCTTAGATTCACTTTTTTCCATAAAAACAGTAAACTAGCCAGAAAAATTCAGAGAGCACTGAAAATGACAAGATACCTTTTGCTCACAGACGGTCCTTTTATGTATTTCTCTTCTGCCTTCTTGTAATCTATGTCGTCCACCGCAGAAATGGCGTAAATGATGGCCTACAAAAGCATTTGGTTCATTTACACTCGGGAAAGAAAAGCCATTTGAAACTGCCTCAGCAGACGAGCACGTTTTTAGAACATGGTTCCTCAATATTTAGGGAATTTGGATGCAGCAGGAGACAGTGGCTGCCTCTGCTCCGTGACGCCTCCGACACCAGCAGGAGCAGGACACTGTGTGTGACGCCTCCGACACCAGCAGGAGCAGGACCCTGCACCCAGTGCCACCCCCTCGGAAAGCGGGGCTGGTTTCTGCTGGCACCTTCCAGGACCAACATTCCCAGGAGAGTATTTTTTATAACCAGATGAAGAGATTCTTCAGAGTAATTTTTGTTTCTACAGAAGTTACTTTCTGTTCTCCCTACTGAGAACATCAGTATCTAAAGAAACAAACAACCCAGCCCCCAACGCACACAAAGAACCCAGGAAAACCCAGAGATGACTCGTCAGATTAGAACAAAAAAAAAAATTGGATACTAGAACAAAATTCTTTGGTGTGAGGGTGGTGAGAGCCTGGCCCAGGTTGGCCAGAGAAGCTGTGGCTGCCCCATCCCTGGAGGGGTTCAAGGGCAGGTTGGAGGGGGCTTGGAGCAACCTGGTGTGGTGGGAGGTGTCCCTGCCCAGGGCAGGGGTGAAATCAATCTTTAAGGTCCCTTCCAACCTGAATCATTCTATGATTCTATGAAAAAAACAACCCAAAGCTTAGAAAAGTTTCAGAAGTAATCAAAATACATCAGAAAGCAACCATTCTGCCTTTAAAACCACCACACTGCCTAAAGCCTCTCCATTTTGCTAATGGCTTAAAAATCAGTGTTCACAATGACTCTGGTCCACACCCCACCCACAACCCAGCGCCAACACCTGCAGGAAGCACACAGCAATTAACACAGCTGCTTTATTTATTAGTTTTCTCCAACATGCACCCTGAATGTATTTGTTCTCTGATTACCAGCCCCTGAACATGATTTAAGAGCCTCCTGCCCTGATTTTAATATTCTTCACCCAAGTTATACATTGAAACCAGGCAGTTTTCTGCCCTTTGACCACGACTCAATCTGGCAAAGGGGCCAGAATGGATCTGCCAGCTCCCGGGGAACACTCCACCAGGCATCAAACCCCAGTCACGTCACGTTTGCCTTGTTTACTTACTCGAACATTTGCTTTTCTCAGCATTTCATGTTTACTTACCTCAGGCAGAAGGACATCCGAAATAAACTTTATTGCATCTCCATTGATTTGCTGCAGGTTTTTAGCACCCATCTCGCAATACACCTCCTTCAAGTAGTTCACCACAAGGTCTAGTTGTTCTTCATCCTCCAAATAGGTCTCCACGCAGGTCACGTACTGGCTTGAATTCAGGAATTCCTTCAGCCACCGGGACTGTTTCCTGCTTTTCAAAATCGCCAAAAGATGCTCTTCAGCCCCCTTGGTCTTGACAATAAACTCCACGATCTTTTTATTGGCTTTGTCTCTGGCAGCTCTTGTTCTGTCGGGGAGAAGTTTCTTGGAGGGCTTCTGAGGTGAAGTCTCTGATGAAGACTCTTCAATATTTTCCTCTGCCACGTTTGGAAAGGACATTGGGACTAAGCCTTGACAACATTCCTTCCTGACCGGGTAGCCTGGAAGAAAATCCATAATCATTCTTAAATAAATAAAACAAGGGGCTTTTTGGCATACGTACTTATATATACAAATAGAAAATAAAGGATTTTCTTGATAAGAGCAATTTTTTACTTCCTCCCTTACCAAAGAGGGTAAAAAGCCACCTAAGAGCCTTAAAAAAAAAAAATATTAGGGAGTTGAATGTCTGACAGGAGCTTTGAAACATGATGTAACCACTTAGGTGATTGTAAACCTACCTATGGAGCAAGGAATACAAACAATAATGTGTTCACTTACTGATATCAGCAGCAAAATACTCCAGGAAGGATCCCGTAAAAGAACGGCAACCTAAAAAGCCCAGAACAGGGTTATTTATCAGTTCAATGAAACCCACGAAACAAAGCTGACATTTCTGGTGGTTCTCCTGATATGTACAGGAATGGATGCCATCACCTGGCTCATCCACTTACCCACTCGAATCCGATAGTCAGAGATCAGTCGAATACACCACTCGATTTCTTGGCGATAATCTTCTTTGGCTCGTTCCTACAAAACAAGAGCCATTTACAGTCCCTGAGAGCAGCCTGTTGCAGCTTGGAGGTCTAGGCCTCATGTTATTCTCCATTTAGTGGAGCACAAATTACATTTACTTCCTTCATGGAATAGGGAGAGTGAAGAGAGACCCGTGAACTGCCCCCTCTGTCCCCACAGGGTGCGTTATACTTTGTGTACACAACTTTATACACCCACACCTACATGTTACCACTGGTACTTACAATGAGGTCCTGCTTTTCCTCACAATCAAAGTGCTTCAGGCTCCTAAGAGACACTGAGAACCTTGATGGAACAAAGAAACACAGTTAGGGAAAGAGGCAGCCAAGTTGCATCTCTATCTATTGACTGCAATTCTACTCCTGCCTGGAAATTAGGTTTCATAAGGAATTCAGGAATGCGGGTTTTACTAGTTTTGGTTTTCATAATAAGCTCATTTGTTAAAAGATGCCATAGCTTTAGAAACACCTGGTTTCAAAACAGAACTAAAGACAGGCCCGTGTGTCCAGGAAGTTTGGGCACATGTGAAAAAAGAACAGTAGCTGTGTCCCCAGCCCAGTTTCTATTCCTCACACAAGCGTGTGATGGCAGATCACACGTGACAAAGCACAGCCCACACCTAAAAATCCTCTCCTCACCCCGTCCCTCCCTCCCAGACCAAGCCCAGCTTCACCCAGCAGAGTAACTGCCCCGGAGCCAGGAACAGAAACCGAAAGCCCGGCGGCGGTGGCAGCCACAGCATTTACCCTTTCTTCTTGTCATTTGTACTCCCTTCTATAAATAGCACACACGCCTTCCTGCGCTTCCGCTTCACCTTCTTCACCTGTGGAAAGGACAAAGCCTCACTAGCACCCCGAAACACCCCGACAGAGCAGGAATGTTTTCCCTTGATATCATATAGCACACCCCCTATGCAAAGGAAGCTACACAAATATGAAAAATTTAAGTTTAAAGTGGCAAGAATAGCAAGTTACCCCAATGGAGCATTTTTGTTAGTGCACGAGGGCCCATCCTCTTTGTTTTGTTGGGTACAACCACCCTAATTGATGGTACAAGTCACAGAGGGGCTGTAGTAACCCTCTGCTCCCATAGAAACAGACCTCCATCAACCACATTTATATTTTACATGGTTTTCTCATACGTAAATTTACTCCTATTATCTTTGGAACCCCTCTACTGGAAGATCTTTACCGTTTCCAGCTCTACACAAGCCAAGAAGGGGAAAAGCCACTCAGGAACTCACTAAGCTGCTCCTCCCCAGCCCCCCACAACAGCCCCCTGGGAAGGCAGCGAGCTGTTCTTACCACGGCCGGCCAGTGCGGGTACCTTCGCAGTTTGTACCACACCAACATCCCTTCCTCAATGGACTGCGGTTCTACGATGAAAAAGAAAGTAAGTTTTCTTTAAAAAAAAAAAAACCACACATCATCCTCTTACCAGCCTCCTTTCAGGAGTTTCACTTCAATGCTTTTACAGGTTTCAGCTCAGGTGAGAGGACAACTCCCCACCCCCAAACCACAGCACAGGCGGTTGTGAACGCAGCAACTCGGACAGTCCAGCCCCAGGCCCTTGCCCAGATTGGCAATGATTTGCATTTCATCCTGCTTCAAAGAGCCCGGGGCACTCAAAAATACATTTTATTCCAAGCCGGAAGGCTGGGTTTCATTATCACAACTTGTCAGCAAACTCAAAGCACACAAACCCTCGGACACACACCGATGCCGGGTGAAGAAGTCTCATACACTGATGCCTCACCTTGATTTGATAAAATACTAGGAAGCTCTTCATCTTCATCCTCCTCTTCATCTACCAGAGCCGAGAGGCGAGAGAGACTCTCTGGGTAAACTATCTTTGGAGACAGGTCAGACGATTCCAGCCCTGCCAAGAGGAGCAAGCACCGGTGTTCGTCAGCGTGGAATAGTGATTAAAAATCCCTGTCAGCTTCAGCCCCGGTGAAACACGGAGTTGGGGAAGTGACCCCACAGCAGCACGAGTCACCACAACACAGGGGTCTGTCACACCCCAGACACTCCCAGTTCTCTGCCAAGGGAAAGGCCTAATCCAAATAAAAGGTGGGAAAGGGACAAGAACAGACTGATTTCAGGACTCTGTCCCAGCCTGTTCCTTTACACATCATTTCATCTCAACATTAACGAGACAGAAGCAAAATAAAAAAACCCAAGTGTGACATCAGCAAGTCCTCCAGTGAATTACTGCCAAGCACAGGTCTGCAACACAAGCTCCTAAACAACTCCAGACAGCCCAAATGCCACGCTAGTTTTTAACCAGTACTAACGCGACTGCACTTCCCGCTTCTCCAGAACTTTAAAGAAACAGAATGAAAATCAGCAATTTAAGAACCTCATTCCCAAAAGCAATGCAACACCCCAAGGTGAGTAACCGTGCCTGACCACCAAAGGGGATGAAGTTCTCCCGCCCCCAGGTGCTATGCCCACCTTCATCTTCCTCGAAGTCAGGCAGCTGAAAGGCCGTTACTTTATCCGTAACCGGGTGCGAAATGTTCTTATTTTCCTGCTCCTCACGCTGGGAGGGGACGCTCTCAGAACGTAGCTCACAGATAGAAGGCCCAGATGAAGATTCAGGGCCATTCCTGCATCTCCTTTTTCTGCAGGAGGACAGAGTCTCTTGTTCCCCATTAACCCTTTTCAAGCCAGCTGGCTGTCTTCTTCCGCCCAGCTGCTTCGCTAGACTTTCGCTCTCGCTACTGATGCTTTTTTCCAAGTCATCCGAGGCACTTTTACAAGAGGAAGCCAGTAGTGTCCTTCTGGGCTGACTCCTGGTGTTGGCCCTTTTGAGAGGCACCCCCTCACAGGGGACAGGCAGTGGAGATCCCTCCTCAGCCCGGGGCTGGGCTGCATCCCCGGGGAAACGGTTCATTCGCGACAGAGGTGACACCGCGTCTCTTCGGCTTTTCCTTCCTTGCTCACTTTTTTCCTCCTTTGGCGTAAGGGGATCTTTATTTCCTGTTTGGGACTTGGTCAACAATGCAGGCTTCATTTTCTTCTGCCCTGGGAGGGGTTTTGAGTCTGGCGTTTTGCAGTTTTGATTGTCTGAGTGTGACGTATTACATGTGGTAGTGTTTGTTCCTTTTTCGTGCGCTTTAGCACCCTCCTCCAGGAGGAAGGAAGTGTCCCGGGTTTGGGGTTTTGCATCAGTCTTCAGGCTGGCATTTTTCTGTTCTCTTTTCTTCTTGGAAGTCTCAGGCACCGACTCTTCTTTAGAGTGACAGAACAACCGACATCTCCGTAAGGGGGTAGATGAGAGAGATCCCGCGTCGTTCTCCCGGGATAACTGGGATTTCAGTCTTTCTGAAGGTGGCACTTCCCTGGGGGAGATATTTTGATTCAAAATATCCAGAGCAATCTTAAGAGAGCAGCGATATCTCAGCTCTTCCACAGCCTCGCTCGAATTATTCCTTTGATCTGAGGAAGCAGAACATACAATAAGTGCAATAAGCTTTCTTCCTATGTAAGAAATTTTATTTATAGTATAACTTTTCTGTAGGATGCAAGTTAACACTTAGATCATCCACACAATACACAGGGACACACAGCAAGCTTCCAACGCCTTGTTTTGATCCAAATACACAGAAGATTCTTCACTGTCCCTTCCAATAAGGGAAGAGCAAAAGCAGCTGCAATAAAGTTTAGTCTATTTTCAAGTCTTATGGATGGAAAGAGGGGAAAAGAAATACAAAAAAACCCCTCTCATTAAATACATAATGAAATACATAACCACTATGCCCCAGGTTGAGGGGTTTTGTGTATTTTACACCCAGAACATACACAAGGCAGGAAATGTTTTGCCATCTCCTCACCTAGGCTGGAGGCGATGTTTTCTATGCACTCCTCCTTCAGCGGGACAGCATCCGCGCGGCTCACGCTGATCCTGAAAAACACAGGGTCAATAAACCTGACCAAACTGTCTGAAAATCACACAGCACCAAGCACTGCTAACAGCACCACGCTGCTTTCACCTGGCAGTATTTTCCCCCCCACACCTGTTAGAAGTTAAGGAGAAGAGAACAGATGGAGAACACCTGAGCTGCCAACCTGGGGTTTCTGGGTGTTCCCTGAGACAACCATAAAACCCACAGGGTTTGGGTAATCAATGACCTCATCTCACAGGTATCTTCAGACAAAGGGATTACTACTACTCTTTTTTTGTTAATGTCTAAGAGTGCAAACATACAACAACAAAAAAAAAAGGGATACTTAACTGTTTTTTCAAGCCAAGTATTTCAACTTTAAAAGATGTCTCCTTAGCGTTTTTAATGGATGTTTTCCCACCAGCTCCAGTTTTGCACAAAACCTACGTTAAGGAGAAAAACATGCATTTAAAATCCTTGAGCAAGCCTGTCAGACCACAGGACAGATCTGACACCAACACATTTTTAGTAAAAACACTACAGGACAGACTGACATGCCACGGCACTGGGTTGCACTATTGGGATCTCTACAGATTAGCTCTTTTTTAAAGAATATACATGTTTACTTGGAGCTCTTACTGCTCTGTTTTATCCGTTTCTAAGTTACATCCACAAACCTTCCCTCATTTCCACGTTTGCTTTACCTTTGCCGGCCATAAACGCTTCTTCCACGTGCAAAGAACATACTCTTGATCTGTCATGACTGGGTTTCACGTAGAAAATTCCAGTGCGCTCTGAAGAAAAAGGGAATAAAAGAGTTACGCAACACTTGGTCGGACAGATCTGACACCAACACATTTTTAGTAAAAACACTACAGGACAGACTGACATGCCACGGCACTGGGTTGCACTATTGGGATCTCTACAGATTAGCTCTTTTTTAAAGAATATACATGTTTACTTGGAGCTCTTACTGCTCTGTTTTATCCGTTTCTAAGTTACATCCACAAACCTTCCCTCATTTCCACGTTTGCTTTACCTTTGCCGGCCATAAACGCTTCTTCCACGTGCAAAGAACATACTCTTGATCTGTCATGACTGGGTTTCACGTAGAAAATTCCAGTGCGCTCTGAAGAAAAAGGGAATAAAAGAGTTACGCAACACTTGGTCCGTTTTTGTCTTCTGTTTTTCTAAAGAAAGGACTTCAACAGAACACATATTATTACAGTTTTACCTTTGGGATCATTGGACAGTCAAGGAATATGAAATATTAGCAGTTGAGTTTAAATCAAATTAATCACCTGGAGTTAATCACTTAGTGTTAGTCCCCATCAGGATACTGCTTACATAGAAGTTATTTAGCATTACTTTTATTTAAACCGTGCCACTCAAATCCCATATACCTCTACAGGACCGATATTCTCCAAAAATCAAGTTCTAATAATAGATCTTTCTATAGCTGTGCAACGTAAGCAGGTAGGAGGGAGTGCCTGAGCCTAGGAAATCAATAAATAGATAAGAAAAGGCTGCCGTGAGCCTGCACACCCCACAGCGCCCGGCCACCGAAGCCCGGCCTGCAGGTGACACCACGCAGGGCCCATTTTATGTATAATTTAGAATTATAATCCCGAGTGCCCCGGCTCCAGGGCCCTCCCGGCTCCTACAGACCCCACAGGCTTCGAGAAAGACCCACGAAGAGTTAAAAAAGAAAAAAAAAAGACAAAAAACCCCCTGCTGTACTTACACAGCCGAAGCCTGCGGTTCCCGCGCCGGGCTGGAAGGGGGTCCTGCCCCCGGGGGCAGCAAGAACGGGGGTTACTATGGCAGCGAGCGGCCCGACCGGGCGAACCGGGACGCGAAGACCGTTCCCGGGACGCGAAACCCGTTCTCTAATGGTCTCCAGCAGCCCCGTCTCAGCCCTTCCCGCCCTCTCCCCCCCCTCCCACCGCCGGGGCCCTCCGTGAGGTAACGAACCGGGACCTGAGGGGGAGGACGGGCGCGGTGCCCGCGGGCAGGGGGGTTCCTGCCGCGCTGAGGGGACCCGCCGCCCCTCCCAGGCCCCCATGAGGGGTCCGACCGCCCTCCCCTGCCCTCCCGGTGCCGGTGCGAGGCCGCCCCCTCCTCCCCGCCGCCATCCCTCCCCTCAGAGCCCCGGTGGGGGGGGGTCGTTACCGATCGTGAGGCGGACGCGCGCGCCGCGCCCCCTCCCTCCATATGAGGCCACTCGCGCATGCGCCGCCCGCCCCCCCGGCAAAGCGGCAGCCAATGGGAGAGCCCCGCTCGCCCCGCGGGCACCGCCTTCCTGCCGCCAAAACACAAAGGTTTCGGCCAATCAGAGCGCCCGCTCCCCCCGATTGCTCCGCCCCCGGTTCTCCTCCCATTGGAGGGTTGGGGTACGCCCCGCCCCCGCGCTGCCGAGCGGCCTGGCCAATGACGTCACTTCCCCTTCCGCCGGGGAGGTGAGGGCAGGCCTCGGGGTGGTGGTATTAATATGTTAATTATTTGGTGTTATTCTGTTAATGATTGAACTCTCGGGTTTCTTTGGGCATTCCCGGGATAGGGGGGAGGGGGACACGTCGTCGGGCGAGAGAACAATGGTCTAAATGACAATAAATCGCCGCGGGTTCCTCAGGGTGTGACAGACGCGACCAGGGATCGGCCTTGGTTGTGGTTAAAATGGCTTCGCAGGCCCCGGGGTCTGTGGGGGACACAGGCCCTGCTCGAAACGGCTGGTTTGTATTTACCTTAAGGCAAAACAAAAGATCATGGAAGGGTTTGGGGTTTAGGGGCCTCAAAGCCCCCCCAGTTCCCCCCCTGCCCTGGGCAGGGACACCTCCCACCACACCAGGTTGCTCCAAGCCCCCTCCAACCTGCCCTTGAACCCCTCCAGGGATGGGGCAGCCACAGCTTCTCTGCCCAACCTGGGCCAGGCTCTCACCACCCTCACCCCAAACAAGTTCTTCCCCACAGCTCAGCTCCATCTCCCCTCTTTCAGGGTCAAACCCTTCCCCCTCCTCCTAGGGCTCCCCTCCCTGATCCAGAGTCCCTCCCCAGCTTTCCTGGAGCCCCTTGAGGAACTGGAAGGGGCTCTGAGGTCTCCCCAGAGCCTTCTCTTCTCCAGGCTGAACCCCCCCTGAGCCTGAAAATAAACAATCAGGCAAAAAACCCACCCTTGAGGAAGGTGCTGTCAGACCCTGCCAATTTCCAGCCCTTGTGTTCTGAGAATAACAGTGAAACCGGAGCCCCCGGTGTGAGGTTTGGTACTTTATTAGCTGTCTATACTTCTTTATAAATACCTGCAAGATCAGAAATGGCCCCCGTTATACTGAAGTAGGGAGTTATTAAAACACACTCTGAAAACACCGCACAGACCAGGACGGCAGCTCCCGTCAGCCTGACTCCCAGGAGCACAGCTTTTATTTCTTCCTACCTTTAAGTACTGATATTCGTGGAATAACACTTTGTTGACATAACGTAAGAGGCAAACTCCTTTTTCTGCATAGTCTTCCCTCGGGTGCCTTCCATCCCTGAAGACACCCCGTTACTGACTGTTACCTAATTAGTTCCTTATTTCCCATTACTCTGCAGGCCCCGGGGCGGTTCCATGGGCAGCACAACCTCACTCAGCATTTCCCAGCATCGGGCCCTTCTGCACAGGCTCTGGGTGTGCAGAACACCCCAGCCTGGTCCTGCAGGGCGTTTAAGTATTTAAATAACTATTTCATGTCGAAGGATAATGTTTTTTCCAATTAAAAAGCCCTCTTGGACATCCGATCTCTCCCCTGCGTGCGTCTTTACAAGCACCCTAAACACAAAGGAGCTCCGTGGGGTCTGGATCAGCCCTGACACGTCGTGTTGATAATTTCTGCTCCTGCCATAAATAAATATGAAATTCATCGTGTTGAATTTCCCTTCCCACTGCCCCGGTGAGGGCTCTGAGCTGCTGAGTCGGGCGTCTGCAGCGGCAGCTCCCGGCTCTGGCAAAATTCTAATTATTGTTTGCAGCCAGGCCCTACATCCCCATCCCGGAAAAACGAACCCGCTGTACAAATCGGATTCTTCTCCAGCGATGATTTTTTTTTTTTTTTTTCACATTTTTACATGTTTATGACCCAAACCGCCAGGGCTGCGGGTCGCGGTCGGGAGCAGCTGCCCAGCTCTCTGTAATCCTCCCCCCCCGTGGAATATGGCTTTTCCTCTCCGATTACTCCTTCTGTAGTTAAATCCCCAAACGTTTATCCTGCGCCTTGGTAAATAACTGCCTAAAAAAAAAAACCCTTCTTTTTCAGGAAGTTTGTCAACTGAGTGCATTAGTCTTAAAAAAAAACACCAAAAAAACCTCAAAATAGGTATAAACTCCTCGTTCTCACTCGGGAAAGGACAGCACCGTTGGGTGTTACAGAGTCTACACCGCGCCGTAGGAAGAGTTGCATTGTTTTCCAGTAAAACTCAGGGGTGGAAAGTGGAACCCCGGGAATGCCGACGCGGAGAGAGGCCGGATGGGCCGGCATTCCCGGCTCCTCCACAGCATCCGCAGCGGGACGGGAGGTGGGAACGAAAGAAACCGGGTGGAACCAAAGCACAAACCAAGCCGAGGGTCGCCTCCAGCCATAATAAAGGATTTTTCCTGCGGGTGGGATCAAACAGCCGGGTCCAGAGGCTCCCCATGCCCCGTCTGACGCAGCGGCGGCCGTGGCTGCACCGGGCAGCGCCAATCCCCACACACCCTCTCCCCTTCGGCAAATAAACCCCTCGGGACTGTTCACAGGAACTCACAAAACTCTGCCACAAAGACAACCTACTGCCTGTGCAGGGAAGGGGGGAAGAAATTCCCCCCCCTTTTCTGCTGTTTGCTCCTCGTTTTGAAGCCACTTGGGACTTTTTTTCACTCTCCCAGTGGCCAGAACTGTTAATTTGTGGGAAGCCCAGCCTTGTTTCCTCAGCTGGGTCCGCACAGACACACACTCACAGCGACCAGGTACGACTGCACTGGCGACAGGACACTAAATAAGGATGCTCCACACGACAGACCATGGGCCCCCCCACACACACCTGCACTCGGGGCGCTCCTGTCCCCCCCCCTACCCCAGCTCCCCCTGCTCCCTCCCAGCCTCCGAGGGTGGGGGGGTTATTGCTTGTCGAAGCCGCGGCGAGCCGTTAGCTCTTGCAGCCGGCGCCGTTCACAGGGACCTTGGAGACGGCGGGACAGTCGCTCCGGAAAGCCTCCAGCTCCTCGGTGGGGGTGGCTTCGGGGCCAGCAGTCCCCGTCCCCTGGGGCAGGCAGGTGTCCCGGGGACCCCCCCGGCTGCGCCCGCTGCCACGGGAGCAGTCGTGGTGGCCGTGGTTGCCCAAGCGGCTGGAAGCCACCACGGCTTTCATGGCAGCCTGCGGCAGAGACACAACAGTCATTAGCCCACGTTTGGCAGACGTCACCCCCCCCGATGCCCCTCTGATGATGGTGGAACCCCCAGAAGGTGCAGAAAGGGAGGTGGCACCCGCTCCTTTGGCCACGCCAAGCTCAGGAAAGGCTTCTCCCAGCAGTGGCTACCCCCACTGGCAGACTGGTTGCCCATCCCCATGTGACACAGCTGTGAGGAGCCGCTCCATCATCCTTCACCCCCCTCCCCAGTCCAGCCCCCGGAGCTGCCACGTGTTGCTCAACATTTATCTGCTCGGGATCCTTAAAACCCAGCTCCCAGTGGCCCCAGCCGTTTGCATGAGGGGACACGGGCACAAGCCACCCCTGGGGGGCCGATGGGGCACCTTCGCTCCTCCCCCTCACCTTCAGTTTCCTCCGGGCGTTAAATTCCTGCAGTTTCTTCTGCGTGCTGTCCATGTGAGCGAACTTGGCGGCTTTCCCGGTGACCCAGGGGTGCTCCAGAGCCTGGTAGACGGTCAATCTCTTCTGGGGATCCAGGACGATCAGTTTTCTCACCTGCAACCAACCAAAAGGCTCTATTTGTCAAAAAAAAATTTAAAAAATCCCTCATTTTCCCTCATTTCACGGGGCATTGATCTCCAGCCCTCACGTAGGGCAGCCCCAAAGCCCTCCCCGGAGCCGGGTCCCTCACCAAGTCCTTGGCGTTGAGGGAGACCTCGTCCCACCACGGGGACACGAACTCGTAGTCGCAGGTGAGGATGCGGCTGTACATGTACTGGTCCCCCCGCGGGTCGAAGAAGGGCTCGAAGCCGCAGAGCCTGCGGGCAGAGCGGGGAGAGAGGGGCTACACACCAGCTGCGCCCCCCCGGCACGGCCCCCGACGGCCTTCCCCAGTTGCGGGGGGTGGGCTGGGGTCCCCACCATCCCCCCGCTGGGGTTTTGTCACCCGTGGGACCCCGGCAGTGTTACTCACAGGATGTAGGTGATGACGCCCACAGACCACATATCCACTTCAGGGCCGTACGGGCACCCGTGGAGGATTTCTGGGGCTGGAAGCAGTGTTTGGGGTTCAAACACACGGGTGTGGGGAGCTCCCGGTAGAGGAAACCCCCCCTCTCCCCCCCCACAGGCACCAGCAGCATCTCCTGAGCCTGGCATAGCCATCGGCCATCCCTGCACTGAGTTGTGCATGGCCTCAGGCAGGGAGCAGCCTCCCCGGGTGTCCCTCCCGTCCCCCCCCCAGCTCTTCCCTCCCGCTCACCGCAGTACCCCGGCGTCCCGCAGATGGTTTTCATGGTGTCCTGTTCATCCACGATCTTGGAGAGCCCAAAGTCGCCTTGGAGGGAGACAGAAGGGAGAGGCCGTTCAGGGAGAGGCACTATTAACCCCCCCTCCTCGTGCCATGAAACCCCTCCGGGGGGGGACCCCAGCAAACCCACCGATTTTCAGGGGGGCGTCGGGGGACAGGTCCGCGTAGAGCAGGTTCTCCGGCTTCAGGTCACGGTGGACGACCCCGTTTTCATGCAAATACTGCGGAGAGAGAAGGGGGGATGTGGGAAAGAAGGGAAGGACAGGGGGGCCCGGCTGCCTCGGATGGAATTCGGGGGGATGGGGGGGGTGGCAGCGATCCAGGACCCGGCACAAACACGGGACCAACTCTCCCAGCCATTCCTTCGGAAACAGCCGACTCCTGCGGTGCCGGAGCGGCCGGCACGGCCACGGGAAGGATGTTTTCTGCTATAAACTTCCATTTTTATACCCTCCCGTTGCCATAGAAACCCTGTCTCCCGCCGACCTGTGAGGCAGAGCAGCGCTGACCTCCCTCCCTCCTCTTCTTCATCCTCCCCAAACGCTGGGAAGGGGCCGCTCTGCCAGAAATGCCTTCGGATGGGCCGGGGGTGAGTGGGAAAATGCCTTTCCCCAGGGAAATTTGGGATCGGTGCAGTTCTGGGTGTCTCTCTCCAGGGACATTTGGGATGGAGCAGCCCTGGGTATCTCTTCCCAGGAGTATTTGGGATGGTACAGCTCTCAGTGCTTCTCCCCAGGGACATTTGGGATGGAGCAGCCCTGGGTACCTCTTCCCAGGGACATTTGGGATGGTGCAGCTCCTGATGCCTCTCCCCAGGGGTATTTGGGATGGAGCAGATCCCAAAGCAGATCCCAGGTCTCTCTCCCCAGGTGTATTTGGGATCGTGCCATTCCCAATGCTTCTCCCCAGGGACATTTGGGACGGAGCAGCCCTGGGTACCTCTCCCCAGGGGGGACCTGGGAGGGTGCAGCCCCCACAGCAACACCCCAAACCACACACGGGACCTGCTCCCCAGGCTGTCCCCAGGGGCTGGGGGGGGGGACATGCTGGGGGTACGTTACCGAAACGGCTTCCAGGATCTGCTTGACAACGTGGGCCGCGTCCCGCTCGCTGTAGAAACCCCTCTCCACGATCCTGTGGGCACATGGGGTCAGCGTGGCAGTGCCCCCCTCACCCCCCAACCACGGTGAGCGTCAGCCCCCTCCATCCTCATCCTCCCTCTGCCACCGAGGTGGGACTCCTGCCCCTCACCGGGAGCTCGGGTGGGATGGGGGGGCCGGACGTACCTGTCGAAGAGCTCTCCCCCCGTCACCAGCTCCAGGACCAGTGCGATCTCGGTGGGCGTCTCGAAGATCTCCTTCAGCTTGATCTGGAAGGGGGGACAGGAGGGAGGAGGGATGAGGAGGATTCGGGCTGTGCCGGGGGGAGCACGCGACCACCAGACCCCAGGGTGGACGGGGTTTATGGGGCACCCAGCACGTTTCCCTCCTTGCCTTTTTATTTGTCTGAACGGGAAGTTTTTGTAACCATTTGGAACAGCCCTGCTCACTTAATCGGGCATTAAAGAAGTTGCTGGGAGTAGGAAGAGACGGACACACAGAGCTGTTATCCTTTCCCTGTCTCCAAGCTCGTTAGGTGGGAGAGGAGCTCACCAAAAGCTTCTGAATTTCCCAGTTTCATCACCCGTGCTGGCACCTTGGAGTGGGACCGACCCCCAGCAAAGCCCTCCTGGGATGGATCCTGCCCATCCGCACCCACAGGGATGCAGGAGGGACACAGAGAGCCCCGAGGAACCAAAGTCCCCTCTGGGACCGGGGCCCTGGGACCCCGCGGGTGCTTTTGGAAACATCCCTTGGACCATTTTGCAGCAAAAGAGGCACTAAAGAAACAGCGCTTTTCTCCTCATTTTTGTTTTTCTTTTTAGTTCCCACACAAGGTGAGCGTGTCCACACGAGACCTTTGTACCGCTGGAGCGAATCCGGAATTAACAGGTCTCTCTTAAAAATAAGTCAAAATGCAATTTTTTTTTTTTTTTTAAATGGAAAACAGAGAATTTCATGCTTCTTAAGACTTTTGTGACACTGCGAATTTCATGGGGCTTTAATCATTACCTTCATAGGCTGGGTGACAAGCCGTGATACCCCGCAGGGTGAGAGACACTATGTGGCAGCTTATTGCATTATAATAATACACGGAAGCACTATAATTTTCCTATTAACTTCAAAAGTTTACAATCCTATTATCATCCGCTGCCGAGGTTGGTGCTGAGCGATAGCGAGCGCGGCGGCGGCACCGGCGTAAATAATGAAACGGAGCATCTCTCCCGCGAAAAAATCACTTGAACTCGGGAGTCAGCAGAAACCCTACGGAAAACTCGGTGATTTAAATATTAAAACTGTCCAGCTGGTTCCTCCCCCGGCGTCTCCGCGGTGCCGCTGCCGGGAGGGCAAAGAGTAAAGGAGGAGGGAGGGCAGAAATTGAATTTTCTGTGGTGTTTCTGATAATGCATCAGAGAGGAGCCTCTCCCCATCCCAGCATCCTCCTGCGCTGCTCCGAGCAGGCGATCCCCGTCCTGGCTCTTGTCCCTGCGTTTCCCCAAACATCCTGGGGTTGGGGAATCGTCTCCGTGGAAAAGGATGAAGCACCAGATCGCCCCAAAATGCCGAAACACCCCAAGGCAGGTCCATTCCTTGCTCTCTGAGGGGCTTAGGGACTCCGGCTCCAGCCCGTTTACCCCCATCATCCTCATTTTTGGCCTTCCTCTGGCTTCGCCTCTTGCATCAAGGTTTTGGAGGCGGCGGGTGGGCAGGATGTCCCCCGCCGGGGCTCCTCTGGAGACCAAAGCCTTATTGCTCCAGGGATGGTTGACACGTTTTGGGCTGGAAACTGCCGTGCCTGGGGGTTTGAGCCACACTGCAGAAATATGGCAGCGTGGGCAGCAGCGGCCAGTGGTGGGGACATGTCCCGGAGATGTCCTGGTGGTGTCCCAGTGATGTCCCCGTGATGTCCCTGTGATGTCCCGGTGATGTCCCAGCCACAAAATCCACAGGAATGGGGTCTGTCCCACCCCCACAAAGCCAGTCCCCGGCGCCCCGGCAGCTGCCAGGTGGCTTTTTGTGTTATTTCTTTACCTCAGGTCCTCTCCAAGATGCTTTTGCAATTTGCTGGTGGAACTAAGCAGCCGGGAATAAGCCTTTTTGGCAGGTGGAGGGACGGGGGGGGCAGGGGGGGCACGGAGCCCCCTGCCATTGCGGAGGGACCGACGGGGCGTCCCCAGCTCTGCTGACACCAGCGGTGATTAGAGCTGCTGCCGGGCGTTGCGAATCGCTCCAGCCCAGCTGCCCTGGCCCCCCCTGACCCCCCCCAAGAGCTGAGCAAGGGGAACGGCGCCGGGGCTGGGCACCCAGCACCCGCGGCCCCGGCCTCCCCTTTTATCTCCCCTTGCAGGATTCATTACAGACGGGGCAATTTTCTCTGGCATTCATTTGATCTCCTGGGTGGAAATTGCTTACCAAATGGAAATCTCAGGCCAGGGGATGGAGGGGAGGATGAAGTGGGGGGTTGAGGGGGGGCCGGCCCTCGATATCAGAGCTGGGAAGTTCAAAGGGGCTGTGAGGACCAGGAGTTTCATGCAGTGATTGGGGGGCATCGTGACATGGTGAGGACCAGGCGCCCGTAGCCCCTCTGAGAGGCAGGGAGGGGAAGTGGTTGGGGGGGGGCAGGGCTTCCTG